ACGACTGATTCTTCTTTTATTGCATAGAATTCTCCTCAACAAAAACAGATGAGATACTTTAACAACGTGAAAGGATTACTACAAAACAGTTATGCCAAACACCATAGAACAATAAAAATCAAAAGAAATACATAAACACATCTTTGAATCATCACCGAGTTCGTTTTTTTCAGGAACAGAAATGTAAACCATCACCAAAAGTAAAGAAATTTATGACAACCTATAAACAGTGCGATGAAGATGTCATTAGATGTACGTCCAACCGACTGGTGTTCTGTAGGAGCGCGGAAATGGGCCAAGCTCTCATGAAGTGCCTGAGACACACTTGATTGGTTGATCGGTCAAACCCACCAATCCTGGATCCCCCTTAAACTGACCCAAAGGAGCAATGCACCCCAACCGCTTTCTACTACCAGTCAGTTGCACGAACATCGTTCTGCAATCTTTTCATTATATTCTATTGTGGATCCAAAAAAAATTCAGAAATCAGAATTCAAAAATGAGCCTTTAGGCCAAGTCGGGTTAAACCCGGAAGTGAGAACATTTTTTATGAGAACAGGTAAGCGTTTGAGAAGAAAAGATTCTTCATATAGTCTTTGAAGAACGGGAGACATTCAAATCCTCTCCCGATCTTGCCAGATCTTACCATAGCCGCCCCTATCAGGATCATACTGTTCACGATACTCATCTCGGACCTAAACAACAACAAAGAGTTCTAGCTAAACATAAAGATATCGGTACAAAAATTGAGGGAGGCTGTACTACCTGTCCACCGTGCTTTCCTCGTCCATACTGACGCCCTTCCACGAAGCCTGCATCATAGTCCACTCGGATAATCCTTCCATCCAGCATTGTACGATTCAGAAAACGTACGGCATTTTCGGTATCTGCTCGTGTATAATAACTGAAATAAAGTAGTCAGCCATTTATTCAAGGCGATGATTACTATACTAATAGAATTGAAATCGCTAATAAATAAGCAACACTTACATTACAAAACAAAAACCACAGGGACTTTTTTTGAAACGATCAAGGCCCATGATTACTCGTTTGACTTCTCCAGCTCGATTAAACAACTCATACAACTGAAATTTAGCAGGATATGAACGCATGAAGAAGAAGAGAAGCAATATACCCGATTTTGTCCGTTGGGACCGGCTCTACGACTCTACAAGAGGAAGAGGAATTAGTAAAAGTAGCCCCTATTACATGAGGTAGATCATCCTCAGTGAGTTCCTTGTGCCTGAACAGACCTCCCTCTTTCTACAGCTATCGAGATCTTTTCTACTGAATTAGATTTCTTGGAGGTATCGACGGTCTAAAACACACTGAAATTCTGATCAGCAGTCGGATTCATGGCCCATCCTCAAACAGGGTTCAGTACCGAGCGTGCGTTTTGACAATGAAGGTACTGAAGATACAATATTTGCTTCACGCCAGGACGATTCGGAGTTTCGATTCGATCAAGTATCACTCGATTGTTAAGACGTAAATAATGCGGCTAATTCTGCTGCGTCATCGTTTCAAGCTCTGACGAAGGCGATCTTGCCCAAACATCAGCTCAACAAAATTTATTAGGTTGAGTAAAAAGTTTTGATCGGCTTTTCAATCTTCACTTTAAAAAG